CTTGTTCCTCTTTCTGTTGTTCTGGCACCCCTATTATTCGTATGTTGTTTCATTTCATGTTGTCCCATAGCTCCCTTAGGCTCTCCTCCTGTCTTTTAATTTTTTTCTCCAATTGCTGTTCAGTTTGGGTGTGTTTTGTTTCCCTGTCTTCTATTTCGCTAATTTAGTCCTCTGCTTCTCCTAGTCTACTGTTGAAACTTTCCAGGGTGTTTTTTATTGCAGCTATATCACTCTTCATTTCTTCTTGGTTCTTACATAATTTATTGATTTTTTCATCTGTTTCTTCTTGCTTCTTGCATATGTTGTTGATTTTTTCCTCCATCCGGTTTATGTATTCTAGGACCCTTAATCTGAATTCTTTTTCTGTCATGCTGTATGCCTCGGTTTCACTTAGCTGCTTTTCTGGCGAGCCCTCCTTTTCTTTCCTTTGGGGGTTTCTTTGTCTACCCATGTTTGATCTCACCAACATATCTAGATGTTGAGTCGTTCAGTGGCTGCTCCCTGGGTGGCAGTGGCTCCTTGGGCTGCGGTTGCTCCTCGGGCGGTTGTGGTAGCAGCTGCTTCTCAGTTGGGAGCAGCTCCTGTGGTGGGTTCTGTTCACTGCTGTGGTGGCTCCTCTGGCTGGTGGGGGGAGGCTTCACACACAGCTGCTGTTCCTCAGACCTTGTTTTCATTATTGAACTTTTGAATTTGAACACTGGTGAATTTCCATGTCACTAAGAATGCTTTCAGTTGACAAACCCAGCTCAAAGTGTCTTAGGTAAGGAAGAAAATCTATTGGCTCATGGAACTGAAAAATCATGGTACTAGAAAATCAGAAGGTCTGGTTTCTCCAGTGGTTTGGGACTAGGACCTAGCCCTCCTGGACTCAGCATTACTTCTTCAGTATTAGCTCAGTGTTGGTCACAGGTCACACTTCTCCCCATTGTGGATAGTCTGTTTAGCCCTTCCCATCAGTCCCTTGGCTAGCAGCATTTTTATCTCTTTCCTGCTCTATAGGAAAGCCCCATGGGCCTTCTTGTTTTCTAT